TCCCCTAAGACTTAAGTTTATCAAAATGGGATAATATCCCCGAACGGGATGGTACCAGAAGAATAACAGAAACAATACCATAAAACATATTCAATATATAGTGATACTCACATCTGGCATTTTTTGGGACTTAAGTTTTGACCCAGTACCCAGGACCCCACCATGTCACAGCCAGGTGCAGCTGTGGAGATATGCGCCTGGATTAGAATCAGACTTCGACGACTGGGATCGGAAATGGGCGTTGCCTGGGGTTTGCCCTGCTGCTTTAAAGCTTCAACAGCATCTCAAGACCTACAGATGTTCCATCGGTTGTAGTTGAGACACTCTCCACATGTTCAAGTGCCCAAGTTCGCAGATGATTTTCCTGCTGAAAAACTTGGATTCTTGGGGGTTGTGCCACCATTTCAACCGAAGTTATATCTATATCTCCCTATTTTTGTTGGATCAAGTGCCTGTTTGGTTGGTTCATCCCCAAACTTCATGTGTTTGTTCTAGAAGAATATCCTTGATTCCTGGCGAATCTGGTTAATTTGCCTAGCTTCCTCCATATCTATCTCTATCTATCTCTATCTCTATCTATCTATCTCTATCTATCTATCTCTATCTATCTCTCTATCTATCTCTCTATCTATCTCTCTATCTATCTCTCTATCTATCTCTCTATCTATCTCATCTATCTATCTCATCTATCTATCTCATCTATCTATCTCATCTATCTATCTCATCTATCTATCTCATCTATCTATCTCATCTATCTATCTATCTATCTATTTATCTATCTATCTATCTATCTATCTATCTCCCTATCTATCTCTCTCTCTATCTATCTCGATCTATCTCTATCTATCTCTATCTATCTCTATCTATCTCTATCTATCTCTATCTATCTCCCTATCTATCTCCCTATCTATCTCCCTATCTATCTCCCTATCTATCTCCCTATCTATCTCCCTATCTATCTCTCTATCTATCTCTCTATCTATCTCTCTATCTATCTCTCTATCTATCTCTCTATCTATCTCTCTATCTATCTCTCTATCTATCTCTCTATCTATCTCTCTATCTATCTATCTATCTATCTCTATCTATCTCTATCTATCTCTATCTATCTCTATCTGTCTCTATCTATCTCTATCTATCTCTATCTATCTCTATCTATCTCTATCTATCTCTATCTATCTCTATCTATCTCTATCTATCTCTCTCTATCTCTATCTATCTCTATCTATCTCTATCTATCTCTATCTCTATCTATCTCTATCTATCTCTCTCTATCTCTATCTATCTCTATCTATCTCTATCTATCTCTATCTCTATCTATCTCTATCTATCTCTATCTATCTATCTATCTATCTATCTATTTAGATATATATATATCTATGTCTCTCTATATCTATATGTATCTATCTATAAATCACCTATCAGTCTATAGATGTATAAGTCTGTCGAATATATAGACCTATAAATCTAATCTCTAGTCGCATGTATCATCGAATATTATCAAGTATCTTCCCGCCAAACAGATCGACCAAATCTTGGCAGATTTGTTGGTTGAGGGGATGGTATATCTATCCTCATGGCATTGAAAAAATAGCGAACATCTATAGACCATATCCAATATCAGATGATGTCTATCTATGTATTTTATAGAAATTCAATACCTAACATAATTTCATCTAAATAATCATCCTCCTATTGCATGGATATTTTCCGTATGGGATATCTTCCATTATCTTCCGTATTCGATGTGTTCCAATTAGATCCTGCTGGAAAAGATCTATAGAAATAAGGAAATATCATATATATATATTATATATGATATATATATGTATATATAATATATATACATATTATATATATATATATATCATCTTAGAGCATAGTAAGGATAAATCTACAAGTAGATAGCATATATTTCACATTTCCTTAGTATTGGTATATCTTACTATTGGGAGATAGTAAATGTATGTCATATTTAGTTTCGATTAGTAGGGATTTTAATGTTAGATAATGTGAGTAGATGTCTATAGATATATCTAGTATCCTTGTATCTAATGGCATATATCTTTATATATGTAGATATATTTGTATATGTATATATATATATGTTATGAACTATCATCTTAATATTGAAATATATTAGATATACTTACCATTTTAAATATTGTATATGTATTTTTATCTATCATCTTACTAGTAGTAGATATCTAAATATTAGATCTATAGCTAGCTCTAAGAATTTTCCTCTGGTAACCTGAAATAGCTATGGAAAATCACTATGTTAAAGTATTTTTATAGGTAAATCAACTATAGATGGGCTGTTTTCTATAGCAATGTTAGTTTACCAGAGGGTATTTGATATGTTTAGTAGGTAGGTACCAAATAGCTATTGACCAGATTATAATTAGATGATCATAGATCATATTACAGATAATTTATCAAGACTAGAATCCATTAGATAGCTATTTACCATCTATAGAAATTACCATGTCCATTTGTTTGTTTACCATCTTTTCCATCTATTACAGATAATTTATCGATAAATAGAATGTAGTAGATAGCTATGTATAGATGATTATATATCATATTACAGACAATAGAATGTAGTAGATAGATGTAGATAGCTATTTACCATCTTACCATTTGTTCAATCTTAGATGGGTACTTTTATCCTTTAGTCTTTTAAATATGGGATTATCTACGTTCACCAGCGAAGTTTTTTTTTGCATTTTTTTTTGCAGGGTATCTAAGATTGGCACTGTTACCCTCTGGTAAACTAACGTAACTATGGAAAATCACCATTATCAATGGGTAAATCCACTATAAATCAGAATTTTCAATAGCTATGTAACAAATTACCAGAGGGTACCATTTCCACCCATTTCCATATTCCCAGGTCTTCCAGCCGAAGCTCTTCGTCCGTCTTTGCATCGGCTCCCTCTTGCCGTGCCAGTACCGCCTGCGTGGGCCTGGGAGGTGGGCAAAAGGGGGGGGATCTCGGAGATGCTGAGTTGAGATCAATGGGGAGTTGTTTTTGAAGGGATTTTCAAGGAGTTTGAGGGATTCTAAACGAGTTTTTAAAGGATTTTGAGGGATTTCAACGGATTTTTGGAGGTTTTACAGGACTTCTGGTGAATTTCATGTGTTTTTATTGATGTTTAAGGGTTTTCCGGCACCAGAGAATCGCAACAACTCGAAAACAAGTTGGGTTTTATCAGCGAAGATGAGGATTTGCATGATGTTGTTCATTCTTAAGCTGGACCTGGCAGCTGTTGTGCAAGTTTCGCATCACATTTCGGCGGTGTGCATGGGGAACGATACTCCCATATCAGCTCCAAGATGATCCCTGCAATCTCTGACTCACTGGATTGGTCTAAGTGAATGTGCAGGAAACATCAGGAAACCATGGTTTTTTCTCGTCAGTTTTTAGATGGGTCTCGCGTAATCTTGCGTAGATATCTAGAGATTTTCAATCCCTGAAACCAACTCCAAATCCTTAGTTTCGATATGTCAAAATCCCAATTTCGGTTCATTAATTTGGGTGAATCTCTCCGTGGTATCCCCAGTTCGTGAAGCCCAATTGACCACTCCAGGCTGAAGGAGGCGACGACGACAGTGCTGTCGTTGCCCGTTGCGGCAACCCGTTGGCAGAGCATCGTGGAGGTGTGGTTTCCGCGCTGCGAATTTTCGGAAACCACAAGGGTTCATTGTACAAAAAGATGTGGGGATGGGTCAAAAGCTATTACCCTTTGGTAATTTGTTACATAGCTATTGAAAATGGTGATTTATAGTGGATTTACCCAGCTATAAAATGGTGATTTTCCATAGTCATGTTAGTTTACCAGAGGGTAATCTTACCATATTTTGGGGAATAAGCATCCATAAACCAGCTATGTTCGGTAATTATATTGTGGTTATAACTATAATGAATGTTAATGGGCGTTATAAACCAACTTATATCATCTTATATCCTTGGGTAAGCTAGGATATATAGACGTAAAGATGTGGAAGACCCATGGTTTCCAAAAGATCATCTACATGGTTTTTCCACATCGAACTGTTCGTTCATGAATCTGGGCAAGCAGAAGGGATTCATTGGGAGTAAATATCGCAAATCCACGATTTTTCAGACAAACCCATATGAATCATGTGGTAGTTGGTCCTATCTTATCCATTCGCCTAGGGGAAACATACAAAAAGATGCGCAAAAGCCATGGCTTATCCAATGGAAAATCAACTCCTTGGGGAGCAGATCCAAGAATCGAGGAATTGATTTCTGTTCACCAATGATTCGTTGAAAGCCCCCTTTGATTAAGAAGGGTGGCTACCCATTTTTATAGTAATTTAATGCAAACTAAGCTTAATGGGATTTAATGGCATATATATATACACATATTATATATATATATACACGATGGCGAACAATGGCGATATAGTTATACAATGGGATATATATCCAAATTGATATGATATTTGGGTTTGACTCCAAATTAGAAGTTAATATTCTTTGTTAATTCTCCAAAGACATCCAAAAACTGCTTTAGAGTTATTAATTCATCAGGGTAGATATCCTGTTTCTACGAGTTGGTGGATGCTGGTGCCGGACGCTTATCTCCAAATGTTCGCCTCCATTCTGGGAAAGCTGTACCAAACGGAGGACCATCCGAAGAATCAATGAGATCTGGTAAATGGATGTAGATTGTGCAACTTCCTCCTGACAAGAGATAACAAGCGTGTGTTTCTATACTTGGGTGATATTGAGATGATGATAGATTCGACAGAATTGCTGAGTTCAGCACAAAATATAAGTATCAAACCAGTAAGAACTCCGGAAAAAAAACTATCATGAAGATCCTCCTGGGGTCGAGTCAAAGTATAGCATCCCTTCCCCCATCAAATAGCTCCCTTCACCGGTTCCAGGTGGGTTTTTCCCAAGGCTTTCGATCATCTTTTGAGATCCATGGTTATTATCGTGTAGTATCTATGCATAAATTGATATCATTAATATCCCTGTATACAGCAATATTTGTATATCCATATATATATATACATACATATATATGGTGTGTATATATATATATGGTATTGTATGGTTATACCGTTATACCATCTATATACAATTGAAAACACATTTATATACGATGTATGTACAATTTACGCACCATGTACGTACCATGTACGTACCATTGGTGGTTTCCTAAAATGAGGGGGACCCAAAAGTCATGAGACCATTTTAACCATGTTGACCATGGTGACTTGGGGATCCCCCATGTTTGAAACCCCCACGACATATAACCATTTACACACCATTGATATACCATTGACATACCATTTACTTACCATGTGTATACCATTTACATCCTATTTTCATACACGTACCATTTCCATACAATTTTATTACCATGTGTATGCCATTTACATACCATTTGTATACCATCTACATACCATTTACATACCATTTACCTCCATTTGCACACCGTTTGCATACCATCAATATACCATTTAAATGCAGTTCAATTACGTCTATTTACACACCATTTATATACCATTTACATACATGTTATTTGCACCATTTTGGAGGTTTCCTAAAATGGGGGGTACCCCAAATCATCCAAGTCATTAGACCATTTTAGCACGACTTGATTTAGAACCTTTTGAACCCCCCATTTATATACCAATTTATGCAATGCACCATTAATATCCATTAATATACAATTTACATACTTTTTACATTCATGTGCATACATCCCACTTACATACCATTTACAGACCATTTATTTACCATTTAGACACCATTTTACATACCATTGATATACCACTTCCATACCATTTTATTTTATATATCATTTACATACCATTTACACACCATTTTACATACCATTGATATACCACTTCCATACAGTTTTACTTTATATACCATTTACATACCGTTTACACACCATTTTACATACCATTGATATACCACTTCCGTACCATTTACACACCATTTACATACCATTTACGATTCACCATACCATTGACACACCATATACCATGTGGGGTTACCTTGGGACCTGCGGCGCTTGGAGATGCTGGTAGGCCCGAGACACCTGGCGGCGCCACTTGCGGCTGAAACGTCTTTGGCCGGGGGACGAATGAGGCCCGGAGGGCTGGAAAGGGGGTAGCCTTGGTGGAGATTTGCTGGGTTTTCATATCAAATTGGTGAAAAAATAGTAGGGATTTCATGAGAATTCATGGCGATTTGAGTGGGACTTCATGGGGATTTCAGTTTTAATGGGATTTGATAGGATCTTCAATAGGGTTTTAGTATGATTAAATGTTGTTTGACGGGATTTATTGGGATGTAACAGGATTTGGGTAGTATGTTGTAAACAGTGGTAAACCCAAAACCATAAACCATCCACAAGGACTGAAGCCATCTAAAAATGATCGTTTATTATTGGGTTTAGAGGTTTAAAACACATCAATTACCAATTTCATCCAATTTTGATGAAAACAAGGAACCAACGTAGTCTTTGGATGTATTTGGTCACTTCGCTGACTTTGTGGTTTCAAGCGAATATGTTGTACCGCTCTCAACTGCCAGAGTCTTGGATACATTGGATTTGCACGTCATGACACCCTTAAAACGGCAACCTGTCCAAAGTATCAAGCGCAGCAAGCGCATTTTTTGGGACGTGAAACTCAGGGCAGAGTTAAACCGATGACCCGGTAACTCGGTCGCCTGCACGTGGAAGGTGCCCGGAGCCGCGATCTGAGTGTGCTGCCAATGTCTGGCTCTCACGGTGAAGCGAAAGCAGACGCTTGCGTCGAAGCTGGTTTGGTGGTTTCAAAGATGTGCTGCTTTGGTCCTTACTCAGAAGATCCGATTGACCAACGTGTTTGGGAAGGGGCCGACACAAAGAAAGAACCGTGTTTTATGGGTCAAAACTCAGCCAAGTCATTCACTTTTTGGTGATGCCACGACATCAATGTGCAGTGGTTGAGATCAAGTTGAGATCCTCATAGTCCTATTGATCCCCATTCGTGAATGGATTGAAGCCACCAGACAAATTTTTGATCAGACCCTTCCCTGGCTTCGCGTCGTGCAAAACAGCTGGGGATCACAGCCAGATGAAGTGAGAAGTGAAGACTTCGCCCTTGCATGGTTTCATGGCCGAAATTGGGCCAAGTGTAAGGTTTGGGATTGTACTAAATGGAGCCAAGAAGTCCACGGAGAGCCCCAGAGAACCAGCCGTGGTTGAGGATTTCCAGGGTCCGAAGGCGGCCAGTGGTCGTTGATCATGCTCACCAGCAGCTGGTTCAAGGAGATCCAGACGAAGATAGGCTTCATGTCCAGTCTTCAGCACTGATAGTATTGGTGGGTCATGGTCATGTCTTGCATTGTATCATATTGTATCCCATTTCAAATATTCCCATGATATGTCCATCAAAGATCCGCATTGCTCAGAAGAAATAATATAGTCATGTTCATAATCATTCATAATTAATCCCTTTAATATAAAGTATATGATCTTTGAGTCACAGCCAGAGCGCTCCGACCGCGCCGTTGAAGATCAATGAGCGCAGTGGAGACGCCAGAAGTGACACTGCCCACTCTGGAAGATCTGGGTTTCTATGTGTCCCTCGGTCTTCAACTAGCCATGGCTTCGGGTGGCTGTAGAATTTACAAGAATTTTGTTGCAACTCCTCCAAAAAGGTGGAAAAGTAAGATCCTATGGAAATAGTCTATAATAGTGATAGAAACATATAGAAACAACTTTTCTGTTTTTCCCCAGAGGTGCTAGACACTTCTCCGAGCGTTTTTGTTTGCCTTTTATTCCTAATCGGTCTACGGTTTTGGGTGTTGGCAATATTCTTATTTACATTTGTTCATAAGTCGACTTACATTCCAGGGTTTGATTGTCAACCCAATGAGATGCTTGTTAGAAAAGTTGCTTACAAAAGTTGCTTCACATTCCCCCGGTGCTTGTCAATCATGATTGACATTTACGAAAAGTAGCTTTTACACCATGTATTATTTTCCGCTTTTATTCAGCCTATTTTATTTTTTTGCAATGCACTTTTACATGGTTTCACTATTTTAGCATGTTTTTCGTTTTGCCTTTCCTTTCCACATGGCAATGTGTGAAAACATGTAATAGTAATAACAGTAATTAATAATAGTAATAATAGTAATAATACTAATGCAGATACACATTTATAATCATTTATATAATTCTACACGATATCTTTTGGGATTTCAACAGACCATGGTTTTTTTGAACTCCCCAGGCGGAGGATTTCCCCAGCGGTTTTGGCACAGGAACTATTGGAGCGCCACTGTGGATGGCCTTTTGGAGGTCTATGGCATCACCTCACTGGTGCGCTGTGGGAATTTCGATCTTGTTGGGGGTTGTTATATATGTTCTTGGGGCCTTGGAATATGTTTCTTATATCTATATTGAATCTACATAATCTACATTGAATCTACATAGGAATATGCACATATCTACATAATCTATCACAATCTACATTGAATCTACATTGAATCTACATGTTTTACTAATTAATACTAATTATATTGTAGAAGCTACTCTATCACACAATGACTCTAATTATATGCAGACTTTGATTGTCTATTTGCGTATTCAATATATGTATATATATATACACACTTATTCGTTATGTCTCTATTATATATAATTATATATAAGATGTATGGTACCCCCCCTCCACCACCGCTCAAACGTGCAGACTAATTGCAATTCACCATGTTTTATTGCACGTATTGCAGATATGTTTCAATGCATTGTTTGATGTATTGTTGATAATGATTGTCGAACATGTCTTCAACGTTCGACAGCAAAAGGGGTACCATTGTATATATACATGTACATAAGTTAGCTAAGTCATAAAGTCGCAATATCCTAATTGGGACACTATCTCAACTGTTTCTCATTTGGAAAGTAGCGGTAGCGATCATTTCTTTTTCGGAGTTGTGGGCACGGAATCCTGGGACATCCAACGCACCATCGCATCATCTTCATCGCATCTTAAGTCGACACGTCTATCCCATATCTAATCAATAGATTCAATAGATCATCACCAGGGTTCCACTCGAATTTTTTCCCATGTTCAATAGGATTATCCCATGTACATCCTACATTTTCACCATGTTCCCATGGCTTTTCCCTCCTTTTCATCACTTTTCACCAGGGCTTCCATGGCCGGTTCCACTCTTTTGGTCTGCAGGTGCGATTGCAGTTTGCCATGGCCGTGGGCACTGTGATGCTGGTGGCATTTGAGCAATGGACACTTGGTGCGCGAAAAAATGGGGGAGAAATTTAGGTATTTTGATGGTGGAATGTCATAAATTTTGATGGTGGAATGTCATAAATGTGGGAAATTTCATATGAAACTGGTGAACGTTGCTGGAATCCATATGGTTTATCTGAAAATTTGGCGGAACACCATCAAAATACATCAAACATATCAAACGTCGATAGGTGAGAATAAGATGCACAGCACTTTTCGTTTCAAACGAATCATTTTGCGGGATTCACAGGCGATTTTTCGGAAGACTGTGAAGTCCTCTATTCCTCTATGCCCATCTATGCCCAGTTTTCAGGTATACATACTTCTTGTCACTAAAGTCTATGGAACTCGCAGGCGAAAGGAAGTTGACAGGAAACCACATGTTAGATTGATAAATCTATGTGATATTCAACCTTGAAAGACATCCGAATGATGGTTCTCCAGCTCTTTGGTTTGTAAAAGTGATATTTGTTGGTGCAAACCACTTCAAAAACTCCCCACTTGACCAGGATAATTATTGCTCACATTCCCCAGATTATAAAAGATACTCTACACCATATCAATAGTATAACTATGTATAGCTAGATTATGATAAATTGGAATTCATAAAAATCATATGATCAAGATTTTACGATTGGTCTCACGAACAATATTAATATATCATTTTCAGATCCATATGTTTTATCATCTAGAGATATTGATATCTCATAATCCAGCACTATATATATATATATCAAGATCTATCAAGACTGGGCAGATGAAGATTTACATTATATATTTTATCTACTATTTACCATTAAAGTTAATTATACATCTATGACATCAAATTGTTTGGCATCATGACTACATATAACCCATCAAGGTACATATCTATTAATTAATTAATTAATTAATTATTTAATTAATTAATTAGTTTATATATATAATATAATATATATATATACATTTATCCAGTTCGATGTGCAGAACCCACCATGAAAGCAGATTATTTTCCTAGGGTTCCACCATGGGTTTTCGACATCTTTTTGTATGTTTACAAGGTATATCAAGACATCAGACGTCTATAATATAGAATATCACTTAGTATAAAGTTGTTTGATTTTGATCACTTTCATAAAATAATAACAACTGATAGTGAGAATACCACTTATTGTGATCATCTTTCATAATAGGATTACTTATACATTATGTAACTTGTTTTTATAGACATCTTGAAATATGGCAACTCTGCGCGTCTGCACAAAACGCTTGCACTGAGGCGCTTGAGTCGCCGCACGGATAAACAGCTCCGCGCCGCAGGGCTGTTGCCCCCGTTGGAGGCGTGGAGTTGGTTTGGGACTTTGAGGAAGAGAAAATGAGGGATTTTACATGATTTAATAGTGATTTAACTGATTTAATTAATGATGAGTCTAATAGTTTAACACACAAGAAATGTGATTTCATGGGTGAGTTCACTGATTTAACTGCTTTAATACTTTGACATAGGGATTTCATATGATTTGGCCAAAATTGGGATTTAACTTGATTTGACCAGCGAGAACTTAGGTTAGCTTGGCCCAACCTGGATTTAACCAACAAAAATTAGATGATTCAAAAATTTCGAATATGTAAGCGATAATAATGGGATGGTCCACGAATGACTGAGGTTGGACCATTTCGATCCATTTCGAAGGTTGTCATTTGTTGTTTTTCTTTACCCAGCGACGTCACGACAGGATGCTTGGGATTAGGGGAATGATCCTCAAATGGACCAATTTGGTGAATTAGTCTATGGTTAATGATTTCTCCAGAATATCCATTTCTTGGTACATCATGGAATCATAAATAATCATACTGATATGTAATACTGATACTCATAATGATATATAATAATCATAATATATCTATGACTATATAATGATTATAGATTATTGGCAAACACCTCACTATACCACCCATAAAATCCACACCTCAGGTAGAGAAGCATGGCACAGGCGGAACGATATGGGGGAGCTATGGAGGGGCGAGGTGAGTTTAGTTTCAGCTGAGGCATTGATTAACAGCCGTGTTGATGGGTTATTACAAAGGATTATATATATACACATATTATCTGGTTGGTGGTTTGGAACATTTGGATTATTTTTCCATTCAGTTGGGAAGTTCATCATCCCAACTGTTACTCACTCATATTTTTCAAGATGGTTGGTATTCCACCAACCAGTATATATATATATATACATATTATATGATACTACCTGGTTGAATGGGGATCATGAACTCAGCGTAACTAAGTTAGCCATAGGATTGGGGTTCCCGTTTTCAACCAGTATTTCATGAGACGGGATCTGGTTATTTTTGAGTGTTCACCTAAGAGTACTGAAGCTATAGCGGTAGCAGCTATGGTACTGTCTGAGTCTCTTATCTTTTCTCCACTTTTTTGACTGTGTTCAAGGATGTTCAATGGCAATTCAGCAACAGATGCATGGTTTCTGCACTATTAGGATCTCATATACCCTACTGATCCCTATTGTGTCGCAAGAAATCCTGACATAATCTCATCCTCCTACTATATACATACCCCCCCATGACGGGGTTTCCCAAAATGAATAGGTTCAATACTAGGGTTTCGTTTGGTGGTTATTTAACATAAGAGGGAAGGGGTTGAACGCATTAATTAAAACACCTCTATATACTGTAACAGGCATTTCCGGCATTAATTAATAGAAACCTTTAGAATATTGAACCTGTGAGATATCCCCAAAAAAGGTGGGATTGCCGAAAGCCTATTCTAAAACAACCGCCCCATTGGCCATCGTCAGGCATTCCCAGTGATGACAATTTGCAACTTGCCATTGCTGGGAGCGGTGTCGCCGATGGCTTCATGGGATGTTTTCTCCCAAAGGGTCAACCATTGGGGGATTGGGATACCATGGGAACCACTTGTTTAATTTTAGTACTTCAAATGGGGCCAGGTTTATTCTTATACCATGTTTAGGAATATATACATGCGTGTGTATATATATATATATGTGTATACATATACTCATCATATGTGATATATATATATATAGATACGTATGTATAATGAAATGTACTGTCTTCAAGGCACCCATCTAAATATCTCTAAATATTCCATTTGAATCGAGTTGATTGGTAGATATTGGGATAGTAAAGTCATAGTTTATTCAGAGATGTTCACCCATTTTCATAGATATGTTGATATTTCATATATATATATATACATAATTATATAAGTATATATATAATATAATTAATTATAGATATATATAGATATGTAGTTGATTCATTACTCACTGACTTTTCAGCCATTTTGACGCCATCCAAATCATGGTGGCCTCGCCGCTTCTTCCTTGCGCACCGCCTGCGCGCCGAGGATGTCCTCGGGCGTCCTTCGCATGCGAGCGCGAGAAAATCAGCTGGCGGCGCAGAAGGCGGTTCAGGCGAGAGTCGAATTTCTCGGCTTTAGACCTGTCCCAACCTTACCTGGTTGGTGGTTTGGAACATGGCTTTTATTTTCCCCAATAGTTGGGATGATGATCCAATCTGACTAATATTTTTCAGAGGGGTTGAAACCACCAACCAGTTTCTGTGCTTGTAATGTGGGCAAAACAATGCCATTTTTACCACCCATGACTGGGAATGGTAAACATACCACATTTATGGTGATTTTGGGGATGGTTGATCTGTAATTAATACTAATTAGTTCGTATATATATATATATAATATATATATAATATAAACCAGTTACAAGTGGCTATAGGGCTAAAGCTATGGTTCTTAAGTTACTATATGATGAGAGTTCCATATCGGGTCCATATTTTTTTTCGGAGATCATAGTGATGTTTAATGGGATTTTTCATATTGCTATACATGAATGTGGTGGTTATATCGGCGTTATTATATGGTTAAATTAATATAGGTTAACATATCAAGGTTATGGGATGTTTAAGATAATTAACATAGTAATATTAACATCATTATCATGTTATATAGTGATACATGATTCTATACCTCTATTGATGCAATATAATATCTATTCATATTCTAGTGATAATTCATGAGAATCAGTATACAATAGTGAAAGAAGTAATGATATATGATACATTGGTTAAATCCTCACAACTGCGTTTTTTTTGTGTATATATATAATGTAATATTTATACATACATATGTCCAACTCCGCATCTACCTCTCCATTCCATCCCATCCTATCCTATCTTTTTCAGAAAGATATCCAGTGATTGGCTTATGTTGTCAAAGTTGCAATACCAACCAGGTTCCACGACCATCTCGTTTCAAACTCTTTTCTGTTTTCGCTGACACTTTCGTTCAGTCAGCCCGGCGCATGCTGGCGCAAAGGGAATCAAAGATTAGATTTAGATATTTGGATAAGCCAGCAAGTATCATCAGCTTCTGTGAACACGGAGATCCTCCAGAATAGAATGGTTCAGTCCTTGAAACGTTGGATCCATGACACGCGGTTTATGATATTTGTCTGTTTTCTTCTTTCAAAGCGTATGCCACAAGTGAGGGTTACCCGGGTTACCCTAAGTGTTAAGTCTTGGGTTCATCATTTGGAACAGTGCAGGAGCAAGCCCGGGAATTGCTACAACAAATGGAGGTGGGGGCTTTGCTTGAGGTGCCTGAGTCAAGGGCTTTCCATCTGGACTTTGGAATCCTGAGGATCTAAAAGCTTTCCATGGTGGCATTCCAGGCAGAGGAGGAAGACTCGGAGTTTGAAGAGGAAGAGGAGGACGAAGAGGAGGAAAGCGAAGAGGAAGGTGAGGAGGAAAGCGAAGAGGAAAGTGAGGAGGAAAGTGAGGAGGAACTAGATGAAGATGAAGACGACTCTCTGTCTTTGCTTAGCATGCTGTTGTTGTTGTTGTTGTCGTTGGTGTTGTTGTTGTTGCTGCTGCTGCTGCTGAATTTTGAGTTTGCTGTTGAATGATTTCTGTGCATCTTTGGCATCTGGCAATTGCGCAGACCAAGGTGCCTCAAAGCAGAGAACTTGAGAAATCAGGACAAAGCGCTTGATGATTTTCGCAGTGTTTGCACCGGAATGACCCAAAGATCCTGCCCAGTGTGTCAACACGACATAGCAATGCCCAAAAAATAATTTCATGAAAATAAGAGATAGATGTCATATGTTCATTTTTAAGATCTCTCATACATGGATATTGTATCACACTAGCGCTGCATTTAAAGTCGCATCGATTCGTTAGAACATATCAAGAGACAATGTCTAATTGGTCCTTGGGTTAAGTCGTCCTTCCTCGGAAAAGTCGTCCTTTTGTGGTGTGCCATGGTGTGCCCATGCGGGGTTGCACTGTGAAAATACTTTGGTTTCAAGATGTCATCTTAGACAGCCTTTCTTTTTCAGGTTTTTCTTTAGATGTGTGACATGCACCGGTGGAAGTGTGTATTGCTAACATGGGGATTCTCATGCTGTTTGGCTTGTTTGGCTCAGATGTCATAAGGCGAACAAGAGTCAGGAAGGCAGAAAGGTAGGAAGGCCGAAAGGCAGGAATGCAGAATGGAGAAGACAGAAATGAAAGGAAGGGAATGGAAGGGAACGGAAGGGGACGGAAGGGAATGGAAGGGAAGGGCAGGCAAGGAAGGAAAACCGTTGTTCAAGTGGGAATCACGCGAACCTCGCGCGAACCGTACGGCTTACGCAGGGCATTGGGGGAAATAATGATGCTTCTTGACTAAAAATTATTTCCTACACAAAAAATTATCTAACAAAGAAATAATCATCTATTGATGGCACCAAAGCCAGCATCGATCACATTATATCCAACCTCTTGATTACTCTTGGTCATTTATACAAATAAAATCATTCGGAATTATTAAAGGGCTACGCCCTCTGCCGCCGACCCCTGGACACTGGAGGGTCATGCCTGCCTCTGTGTCGTAAGCATGAAATGAACCCTAAAGAAACCAGAAACTGACCTAAACAAACCATTTGTATGTGCGTTTGGCACTGTGCACATGCAAGCAGCATGGACCCCTGCAGGATGACACGCACAACTATGTGCTCTGACACTTTTTCATGGCTCAAGAAATAGGAGCTTTCGTCATTGGGCAGGTGTCTTGGGGACCTAAAGGGTTGCTCTAGCACTTAAGACCCATACCCGAAGCCCCCGTTCGTAACCGCAGTATGAAACTTGAAATGGCATCCTAAAGAGACCCGAGACGACACTGCACTGCCAACTGCCACCCTGCTCGTGTCCTCCTGGGGCCGGCTTTCGTTCTGCACAGCTTCGGTCCAAGCTGGAGTCCAAGGACCGTGTCGCAGGGCTAAAACACCATGGCAGTGAAGGACGGATTGGGCCCGCGGCCCGTATCCCAGACTGCCAAACGTCACTTTCTGAACCGACTAGAAACTAGCTCCAAACCTTGACTTTTCCTGCGTTTCTGCACTGCCAACTGCCACCCTGCTCGTGTCCTCCTGGAGCCGGCTTTCGTTCTGCGGCTCCAAACCTTGACTTTACCTGCGTTTCTGCACTGCCAACTGCCACCCTGCTCGTGTCCTCCTGGAGCCGGCTTTCGTTCTGCACCGCTTCGGTCTAAGCTGGAGGCCAAGGACCGTGTCGCAGGGCTAAAACACCATGGCAGTGAAGGACGGATTAGGCCCGCGGCCCGTATCCCAGACTGCCAAACGTCACTTTCTGAACCGACTAGAAACTAGCTCCAAACCTTGACTTTTCCTGCGTTTCTGCACTGCTAACTGCCACCCTGCTCGTGTCCTCCTGGAGCCGGCTTTCGTCCTGCACCGCTTCGGTCCAAGCTGGAGTCCAAGGACCGTGTCGCCGGGCTAAAACACCATGGCAGTGAAGGACCCCAGACTGCCAAACGTAATTTTCTGAACCGACTAGAAACTAGTTCCAAACCTTGACTTTTCCTGCGTTTCTGCACTGCCAAGTGCCACCCTGCTCGTGTCCTCCTGGAGCCGGCTTTCGTTCTGTACCGCTTCGGTCCAAGCTGGAGTCCAAGGACCGTGTCGCAGGGCTAAAACACCATGGCAGTGAAGGACGGATTGGGCCCGCGGCCCGTATCCCAGACTACCAAACGTCACTTTCTGAACCGACTAGAAACTAGCTCCAAACCTGGACTTTTCCTGCGTTTCTGCATTGGCAACTGCCACCCTGCTCGTGTCCTCCTGGAGCCGGCTTTCGTTCTGCGGCCCGTAGCCCAGAGTGCCAAACGTTACTTTCTGAACCGACTAGAAACTAGCTCCAAACCTTGACTTTACCTGTGTTTCCGCACTGCCAACTGCCACCCTGCTCGTGTCCTCCTGGCGCCGGCTTTCGTTCTGCACCGCTTTGGTCCAAGCTGGAGTCCAAGGACCGTGTCGCAGGGCTAAAACACCATGGCAGTGAAGGACGGATTGGGCCCGCGGCCCGTATCCCAGACTGCCAAACGTCACTTTCTGAACCGACTAGAAATTATTTGCGTTTCTGCACTGCCAACTGCCACCCTGCTCGTGTCCTCCTGGAGCCGGCCTTCGTTCTGCACTGCTTCGTCCAAGCTGGAGTCCAAGGACCGTATCGCAGGGCTAAAACACCATGGCAATGAAGGACGGATTGGGCCCGCGGCCCGTATCCCAGACTGCCAAACGTCACTTTCTGAACCGACTAGAAACTAGCTCCAAACCTTGACTTTTCCTGCGTTTCTGCACTGCCAACTGCCACCCTCCTGGAGCCGGCTTTCGTTCTGCACCGCTTCGGTCCAAGCTGGTGTCGCAGGGCTAAAACACCATGGCAGTGAAGGACGGATTGGGCCCGCGGCCCGTATCCCAGACTGCCAAACGTCACTTTCTGAACCGACTAGAAACTAGCTCCAAACCTTGACTTTTCCTGCGTTTCTGCACTGCCAACTGCCACCCTGCTCGTGTCCTCCTGGAGCCGGCTTTCGTTCTGCACCGCTTCGTTCCAAGCTGGAGTCCAAGGACCGTGTCGCAGGGCTAAAACACCATGGCAGTGAAGGACGGATTGGGCCTGCGGCCCGTATCCTAGACTGCCAAACGTCACTTTCCGAACCGACTAGAAACTAGCTCCAAACCTTGACTTTTCCTGCGTTTCTGCGCTGCCAACTGCCACCCTGCTCGTGTCCTCCTGGAGCCGGCTTTCGTTCTGCGGCTCCAAACCTTGACTTTACCTGCGTTTCTGCACTGCCAACTGCCACCCTGCTCGTGTCCTCCTGGAGCCGGCTTTCGTTCTGCACCACTTCGGTCTAAGCTGGAGTCCAAGGACCGTGTCGCAGGGCTAAAACACCATGGCAGTGAAGGACGGATTGGGCCCGCGGCCAGTATCCCAGACTGCCAAACGTCACTTTCTGAACCGACTAGGAACTAGCTCCAAACCTTGACTTTTCTTGCGTTTCTGCACTGCCAACTGCCACCCTGCTCGTGTCCTCCTGGAGCCGGCCTTCGTTCTGCACCGCTTCGGTCCAAGCTGGAGTCCAAGGACCGTGTCGGGCTAAAACACCATGGCAGTGAAGGACGGATTGGGCCCGCGGCCTGTATCCCAGACTGCCAAACGTCACTTTCTGAACCGACTAGAAACTAGCTCCAAACCTTGACTTTTCCTGCGTTTCTGCACTGCCAAGTGCCACCCTGCTCCTCCTGGAGCCGGCTTTCGTTCTGCACCGCTTCGGTCCAAGCTGGAGTCCAAGGACCGTGTCGCAGGGCTAAAACACCATGGCAGTGAAGGACGGATTGGGCCCGCGGCCCGTATCCCATACTGCCAAACGTCACTTTCTGAACCGACTAGAAACTAGCTCCAAACCTTGACTTTTCCTGCGTTTCTGCACTGCCAACTGCCACCCTGCTCGTGTCCTCCTGGAGCCGGCTTTCGTTCTTCACCGCTTCGGTCCAAGCTGGAGTCCAAGGACCGTGTCGCAGGGCTAAAACACCATGGCAGTGAAGGACGGATTGGGCCCGCGGCCCGTATCCTAGACTGCCAAACGTCACTTTCCGAACCGACTAGAAACTAGCTCCAAACCTTGACTTTTCCTGCGTTTCTGCACTGCCAACTGCCACCCTGCCCGTGTCCTCCTGGAGCAAACGTCACTTTCTGAACCGACTAGAAACTAGCTCCAAACCTTGACTTTTCCTGCGTTTCTGCACTGCCAACTGCCACCCTGCTCGTGTCCTCCTGGCGCCGGCTTTCGTTCTGCACCGCTTCGGTCTAAGCTGGAGTCCAAGGACCGTGTCGCAGGGCTAAAACACCATGGCAGTGAAGGACGGATTGGGCCTGCGGCCCGTATCCCAGACTGCCAAACGTCACTTTCTGAACCAACTAGAAATAAGCTCTAAACCTTGACTTTTCCTGCGTTTCTGCACTGCCAACTGCCACCCTGCTCGTATCCTCCTGGAGCCGGCTTTCGTTCTGCACCGCTTCGGTCCAAGCTGGAGTCCAAGGACCGTGTCGCAGGGCTAAAACACCACGGCAGTGAAGGACGGATTGGGCCCGCGGCTCGTATCCCAGACTGCCAAACGTCACTTTCTGAACCGACTAGAAACCAGCTCCAAACCTTGACTTTTCCTGCGTTTCTGCGCTGCCAACTGCCACCCTGCTCGTGTCCTCCTGGAGCCGGCTTTCGTTCTGCGGCCCGTAGCCCAGAGTGCCAAACGTTACTTTCTGAACCGATTAGAAACTAGCTCCAAACCTTGACTTTGCCTGCATTTCTGCACTGCCAACTGCCACCCTGCTCGTGTCCTCCTGGCGCCGGCTTTCGTTCTGCACCGCTTCGGTCCAAGCTGGAGTCCAAGGACCGTGTCGCAGGGCTAAAACACCATGGCAGTGAAGGACGGATTGGGCCAGCGGCCCGTATCCCAGACTGCCAAACGTCACTTTCTGAACCGACTAGAAACTAGCTCCAAACCTTGACTTTTCCTGCGTTTCTGCACTGCCAACTGCCACCCTGCTCGTGTCCTCCTGGAGCCGGCTTTCGTTCTGCACCGCTTCGGCCCAAGCTGGAGTCCAAGGACCGTGGCGCAGGGCTAAAACACCATGGCAGTGAAGGACGGATTGGGCCCGCGGCCCGTATCCCAGACTGCCAAACGTCACTTTCTGAACCGACTAGAAACTAGCTCCAAACCTTGACTTTCCCTGCGTTTCTGCATTGCCAACTGCCACCCTGCTCGTGTCCTCCTGGAGCCGGCTTTCGTTCTGCACCGCTTCGGTCCAAGCTGGAGTCCAAGGACCGTGTCGCAGGGCTAAACACCATGGCAGTGAAGGACGGATTGGGCCCGCGGCCCGTATCCCAGACTGCCAAACGTCACTTTCTGACCCGACTAGAAACTAGCTCCAAACCTTGACTTTTCCTGCGTTTCTGCACTGCCAACTGCCACCCTGCTCGTGTCCTCCTGGAGCCGGCTTTCGTTCTGCACCGCTTCGGTCCAAGCTGGAGTCCAAGGACCGTGTCGCAGCGCTAAAACACCATGGCAGTGAAGGACGGATTGGGCCCGCGGCCCGTATCCCAGACTGCCAAACGTCACTTTCTGACCCGACTAGAAACTAGCTCCAACCCTTGACTTTTCCTGCGTTTCTGCACTGCCAACTGCCACCCTGCTCGTGTCCTCCTGGAGCCGGCTTTCGTTCTGCACAAACTCTTCGCCCCTTCTGGCATCTTGTTGCTAGTAAGGCCTCCTCTGACGCGCTCCCCCTGCTGACGGCAGGGGTCGGCGGATTACAGT